ATTTTTATCTTTTTTGAAAATTTTTGGTGGTCGACATAGTGAATTAACAGGAGCTAGTAAATTTACTGTTTTTGAGGTTTTTTATGGTAGTTATATAATTACTTTTGTTTTAAAGGTGAAATAAAAAATGCATTCTTAAATATTTGTACAAAAAAATGTTGGGAAAAATGGAAGAAAATATTTCCCTGTAAATTGTTGACTAAATCCTCTACTTGAACAATGTTGTCATAGCCATGTAAGATTCGTGGGAAATTATTACACTACATTATTTAATAATTTAATAATACACTGAAAATAAAACACAAGATTGTGCTCAAGAAGATAGAATTATTCTACCCCTCGGTTTTCAGCACATACCTTGACAACACATTTAATAAACTTTTTTGTTATGCCTAACTAATTAAATCATAATGATACACAAAAAGAATACAATATAAAAGAAAAAAAATAACTAAATAATCTACTTAAGCCAAGATATAATATTTATTTTATTTAAGAAAATAATTAATAAAATATAACTAAAACAACTTAATGATCGTTAAAAAGTAGCGATTACACTTGCTTTTTAAATAAATCCATTATTAGGGATTTTATATTGTTTGGCAATTTGTTGTAAAAGCTCGTTCATACAGTGATGTTCTATGGGTAGGCGGAGTAATTAAATATTTGTTTCTTACATTTATGTTGTGGACATCAGTTCTAAATTTAATTTTACTACAAAAATAGGGAGGTGTTTTAAATTTCAATATTCGGTGATATAAGCAAAACGTCTAAAGTTCTAATCTATTACTCATGTTTAACCAATTCAGTTCCTTAATTTATGTTAATACTTTAGAGTCTAGACCTACGTGATAAACCAAAAATAAGACGTATACGTATATATACAAGAATTTTGAACTTTTTGTATATTTGCATATGCACATACCTATAACGCCATTTAAAGTAAATCTCACATATAGCGAGGTTGGCGGTTACAACGCGTTATTCCGGCATTGTAATTTAAAGATAAATTGTAATGAAACTTAGTGATCTTTTAATAGGTATAGTATAAACTTTATATACCATAAGCAATAAAAGAATTTAAAAAACTAAAATATATAAATATTTATATAGAAGTTATGGGGTTAATTTAAATTTAAGGGCTTTAAATACCAAAAAGGATATTCAAAAAAAGATTTCATTTAATGGTGGCTATATGCTACCAATTATGTGTCGAATGAGCGCCCAATTAACAAATCCAATTCTTGCAACTATTGACTTACCAAACTTTCTGCCCAATAAGTCCATTGTAATCAAGTTGGTACATTTGGCGTTTTCAACTTAAAAAATATGTAATCTTCCAAACATTTTTTTTTAATATTCATATTATTAGCTTTACTTTGCAAGAAAAATTAAAATCGCGTATGTAGCCGTTGTGGAGATATACACTTATTTATAAATTAATGCGCAACAGTAAGCTTAACATGTGTTCACGTTGGTACATTTGGCGTTTTTAACTTAAAAAATATATAATCTTCCAAACATTTTTTTTTTAAATAGTGATATTATTAGCTTTACTTTGCAAGAAAAATTAAAATTGCGTATGTAGCCGTTGTGAAGATATACACTTAAATGTATTTTTTTATAAAATAATTTGCAACATTAAGCTTAGTCTCTGTGTATCGCCTCTTTTATTGAGGTTTTTTGGACATTTTCCTATTTCAATGGCTTCACAAATGGTACGTTTGGTTCTGTATTCGATGCTAGCCAAGACCCTTGTTTTTTTAAAGTCAATTTCCCAATATCGCCAGCAATAGCCAACTTATTCATGGAAGACATAGAAGTACGAGCAATCGAAACGGCAACACTAAAATCAAAGTTATGGCTACGGTACGTAAAAGACACATTTGTCATCTGGACCCACGGAGAAGACATTAAGACACTTGTCACGCGAAAGGCTGGCGGATGATGACCACAAGAAACAAGAAGACCTGAAATTCCAAACGACGCTACAGCAAAACGGATTCTCCAAAACCATCATCAAAAAGGCTCTTAGACCACGACGCCGGTTAAATACCACAGAGGACGAGAACAACAAACCAACTTCGAAGACCTTCCTTCCCTACATGAAAGGGACAACCGAGAGAATAGGCAAAGTTCTCAAAAAACATAACATTTACCGCCACAAGAAAGATCGGTCAAATACTTCCAAACGCCAAACCAAAATAGAGTTAGAGGCATAAGGGGTGTACGAAACTCCTTGTAATAATTGTGACGGAAGCTACGTTGGACAGACCAATAGACGTATCAACGTTAGACGTGAAGAACATCGAAACGCAGTCTTAAAACATCTTTCTTAGCTGAACACGTCCGAAAAACTTCCCATGAAATTGACTTTGAAAAAACAAGGGTCTTGGCTAGCATCGAACACAGGACCAAGAAACCTCAGCACGAGACGATTCACAGAGACTACCAACTGCATAAAAACCAGCTCTTACAACCACCAAAACGCCACGCAAATTAACGATATCAATGTTCTGCTTTAGGTCTTTCACGGGCGTTATATGTATTGATGGTTTTCCGGCATCTGCTCTGTATTGTCGGTTTATGGTTCTTAAAAGAACCGTATGTCTTACGACGTATCGGTACAATCTCATGTACCCTCTTATCTGCTGGGCTGCTGTTGTTGCTCTGCTGCTTTAGTTTTCCATTGGCGTTGTATGTATGAACTTGCAGCAGAGCAGCAACAGCAGCCCAGCAGATAAGACCTGAAGATGGTACATGAGATTGTACCGAAACGTCGTCAGACATACGGTTCTTTTAAGAACCAAAAACTGACAACTCGGAGCCATCAATATATATATATATATAGGTATATATATATATATATATATATTTATATATATATATATATATATACCTATATATTTATATATATATATATATATAAATATATATATAGCGAATTGCTGTGGTCATTTTCACTAGAACACATGTTAAGCTTATTGTTGCGCATTAATTTATAAAAAAAAATACATTTAAGGGTATATCTCCACAACGGCTACATACGCGATTTTAATTTTTCTTACAAAGTAAAGCTAATAATATCACTATTTAAAAAAAAAATGTTTGGAAGATTATATATTTTATAAGTTGAAAACGCCAAATGTACCAACGTGTGTTCTAATGAAAATGACCACAGCAATATTGAGGTTTCTTGGTCCTGTGTTCGATGCTAGCCAAGACCCTTGTTTTTTTAAAGTCAATTTCATGGGAAGTTTTTTGGACGTGTTCCGATAAGGAAGATGTTTTTTATTGTTTCAAAACTGCGCTACGATGTTCTTCGCGTCTAACTTTGATACGTCTATTGGCGGTAAATGTTGTCTCAATGTTATGTTTTTTGAGAACTTTTCCTATTCTCTTGGTTGTCCCTTTCACGTGGGAAGGAAGGCCTTCGAAGTTGGTTTGTTTCTCTCGCCCTCTGTGGCATTTAACCGGCATCGTGGTTTTGCTGTAGCGTCGTTTGGATTTTCAGGTCTTCTTTTTTCTTGTGGTCATCATCCGCCAGCCTTTCAGATCGCGTGACAAGTGTCTTAATGAGTGACTGCAGTTGTGACGGGTGGTGGTGAGACTGGGCGTGTGCCCTAGTTTGCCATTATTTTTCTTGATTATGAAGACATCCAGGAAAGGTAATTGGTGTTCTTTCTCGGTTTCCATTGTGAACTTAATCTTTTTGGGAATTCCGTTGAGATGGCCCAGGAATTTCTTAAGTTCCGCTTCTCCGTGGGTCCAGATGATAAATGTGTCTCCTACGTACCGTAGCCGTAACTTTGATTTTAGTGTTGCCGTTTCGATTGCTCGTACTTCTATGTCTTCCATGAATAAGTTGGCTATTGCTGGCAATATTGGGAAATTGACTTTGAAAAAACAAGGGTCTTGGCTAGCATCGAATACAGAACCAAACGTACCATTCGTGAAGCCATTGAAATAGAAAAATGTCCAAGAAACCTCAACACAAGAGGCGATACACAGAGACTAAGCTTACTGTTGCGCATTAATTTATAAAAAAATACATTTAAGTGTATATCTTCACAACGGCTACATACGCGATTTTAATTTTTCTTGCAAACTAAAGCTAATAATATCATTATTTAAAAAAAATTGTTTGGAAGAATATATATTTTTTAAGTTGAAAACGCCAAATGTACCAACGTATTACACAGTACGACAAAATTTGATTTTTGGTCCCTCCCATGAAAAATTTCTACAGATTCTAAAAATAGAGTTAAAAAAATGATACCCGTGTCTCGGAGTTTTTTCACATCACGTCATAATTTTTTTTAAGTGCTATCCGATAAAATGTTATTCACACTATTCGCGACATTATGTCGCCGACATAATTTAATAGACTCGATAACAGCTGGACTGAAGAGTTAAAAAATATATATATTTACTAAATGGATAGGCAACCATTATAGATGCATTTTAAAATTATTTTAATCTTATACATAGTTTTGCACATTTAAGAAATATATCAAACGGTTTATTTTTAAACCAAGTATAAAATGTTTCAATTTTATGCCAATCAAAATGCTTTAAAGTCGGGTGATTAAAATTTTTATTTATTCAATTTTTTGTAAAAATTGAGCTTTGTTGAATTAACATTTTTAATACTAAAAATTAAAAGATATTTAAATGAATTGAAAAGATATTTAAATGAATTGATTTAAGCAAGTGTACCTAAAACATATTTAATTTAAGTAAAAAAAGTATTTAAGTATACGAAGTCAATTGAAACAGCAAAAAAACAAAAAATTTACACATCTGCGGCATTTATACATAAAAAGCATTGTTTTCAAAACAATCTTTATACGAGGGTCAGTCATATTACAAAAAGTGTAGTAACAGCTTTTGAAGACTATTTTTTGGTGGCGTATATACCAAACTTATGGTATGTACTAGAGGTTATATGCGATTATTGTTACCGTTGTTTGCATGGATTGCAAGATAAAACACACAGTATGAAATATGTTGCACCAACAATTTGGCTTCGACGTACCGAACACGCATCTGACCAGTGTTATTTCTGCATGTCAAAATTAAAAAGTTTTGGATTTCGGCACAATACTAGAGAGAAAATTGATAACGCCGATGTAGAATCCGTCATTCTCGCAAGAGTGCGATCTGAAGATTATCCAACTGCTCCTTCAGAAAACATATGTGAGGAGAAAGTAAAAGACCTTTAACACCCAGTACTACCATTTTTTCCGAGATGGAATCTGAATTTATGCCCTGTAGTTCGGGTTATAAAGTACATTTTATAACCCAGGCTGATTTCAATGATCTTGTTCATGATGCCAATTTATCAAGAACTACAGCGGAATTGGTTGCATCACGGCTCCGACAATGGAATTTAGTTGCCGATGACTTTAAAATAACGGCAAATCGAAAACGAAATATTTGCATGTCGTTTGACAAATATTTTGCTTCACATGAGGATTCTGAAAAGAACCTGGCTTATTGTGAAGACGTCGATGCATTATTCGAAGAAATTGGTCATCCTCATATTTCAGAAGAATGGCGACTCTTCATTGATTCCTCTGTGAATAGCTTAAAAGTAGTTTTACTTCATATTGGAAACAAGTATCCATCTGTTCCAATCGCCTATGCCACAAATATGCCTGAAAATTATGACAATATAAAGCTAATTCTAGAGCTGATACACTACAATCAGCACGAATGGAAAATTTGTTGCGATCTGAAAGTTGTGGGATTGCTGACTGGTTTAAAAAAAGGATATTGTAAAACCAATGTTTCTTGTGCACTTGGGAAGGCCGTAAGACCGAGCTGCATTATACTGATTTTACATGGGAGCCACGCATTAACTGTCAATTAGGTCAGTTAAGCATTGAAAACTTACCGTTGGTGGATGCAAGGAAAGTAATCTTTCCACCACTTCACATTAAACTTGGCCTGATTCGCAATTTTGTTCGAGCACTGGATTCGTCCGGTGAAGCTTTTAAATTTTTACATACAGTTTTTCCAAAATTGTCTACAGAAAAAATTAAAGCAGGTACATTTCAATATAATTTTAGATTTATTTTTTAGTAACAACATTTTATGTTTCAGGTATATTTACTGGTCCAGATATATCAAAATTAATAAAAAATAATGAATTGGGGCGTAGAATGGTTTCGTTGCAGTGGTGAATGGTTTCGTTGCAGTGGTCGATAATTTTTTGGGAAACAAAAAAGCAGACAACTACAAAGAAATTGTTGCAGAAATGATTTCTGCTTTTGACGACATGAAAGTACATATGTCACTGAAAATACATTTTCTCCATGCTCATTTGGACTATTTTCCACCAAATTTGGGCGATTTTAGTGACGAACATGGCGAACGTTTTCACCAAGACATTTTAACAATTGAAAAACGCTTCAAGGGAAAAGACGTCAGGCATTTGCTGGATGAATATTGCTGGTCGATTGTTCGAGATTCTGAAGCAATATATAATCGTCAAACTAAACGACCAAAATTTTATTCCAACATGTATTGAATATAAGATAAATACAAATGTGTTTCATTAAAAAAAAAAAAAAATATTTAAAAAAAATCAAAATATAAACTTTATTTATAAATATAAATATTTGTTTTTTGTATTGTGTAAAAACATACAATATTTACAAAAAAAATATATTTTTAACCGAGTAAAAAATGTACAATCTGTATAACCATAAATAATAGGAATGACGGCTTAAAATTTTTTTATGACGTGATCTCGTGAAACTGTGAGACACGGGTACGTTTTTTTTACGTCTATTTTCAAAATATGCTAAAAATTTTCATGGGAGGGAAATCGTGTAATTTTCATGGGAGGGAAATCGTGTTGTACTGTGTTATATTACCAACAATAAAGATAGTCCAGTGCAATATCATTAAATTTGGTGAAAAAAATATTAATAATAATAAAATAATCGATCAATCGAGTTTGAACCATTTCTAAATATTGTGGTAGAATAAAATAATCTATGGTAAAACTTTATACCTTACTGAACACTAAAAACAGCAAATGTTCAGGATATTTTTTAAACATGGTCCCAATGGTAGGACATTCTTATTGGTAAACCTTTTGAGTTTTATTGAATAATTTGGCATTCTGTTAATTTATTCTTAAAAACTTGCCATTAACCAAAAAACTCTTTGTTTCTGAAATAAATAGTTTTGCAATTCATTTTAAATAAAAAATTAAAATATTAAGTTTTTCTAATATCTAAAAACAATAAAAATACAACTAACTTCAAAATTATTTTTTTTTATTTTATATTTAAAATTTTGCCACAGTATGAGATGTGTATTTATCACTTGCTTCAGAAGTGTAAAGGACAATTTTTGTTTCTAGAAAACGAATTAAAATGCGAAAAATAATAAGAAGACAAAACAGTGTTTATTTCTTTTATTTGAAACAAATATCACGCAGTGTCGTGGCTCATATCTACTTAAAAATAATAACAGATATGCCCCCGGGATGCTACTAAAATAAATTAACTTAAACGAAATACATAAAAATCTAATTCATATTTTTATAAACAAACACACGAAGTTTTAAAAAGTGGGAATAAGAATTTTTTAGATATATTGTTAAAAACTTCCAAATGAGCTTACGATTTTTGACAACGCGTTGCAACGTATTGAAAGAAGAGAATCAAATCAGGTTATAAAATAAAATAATCTTTTGGGATTTAAACAAATGTTCAATTGAAGGGTCTTGGCTCGTATATTTAAAAAAAATGAATTTTTTTTAGAGAATTTAAAAAAATAAATTCAATGAGCCATACCGTTCTCTCGTTATCCTGCTATTATTGGTCATTAATGCTAATTTATATATTTTTTTAATAAACAAAGGCCGATTTAGCCCTCTTCTACACAGGGAATTTAATTTGATTCTCAAGTTCAAGGAAGTCTGAACGATTCAGAAAATGTTTGGGTTAAGGTGCGTACCGAATTGCAACAAAACACTCCGAACGAACCAAACGTACTGCTCTTGCTGCGCCGAATGCATCAAACATTTTTGTGGAAGTTCGTGCTGTTCGTGAGCATTTGCTGTGTTCGTCGCGTTCCCGTTAATAAAGTTGTGTTCGTCAGGATGAATGCAGATGATGTAATAATAGCGGCTGGTGATTTTTATTTTAAGTGCTTTAATTAGCAATAGGAGGAGAAAAAAAGTTGTCAAGACGTCTCTTTTTGCGTATTTTTGGACTACTCAGGGATTTGGATCATTTAGAAAATTTACAAAATTTTACAAGGATGCCTGCAGAAGATTTTAAGAACCTGATACGTCTTGTAAGTCCTGAAATAGCAACACAACTTCGAAAAGCAATACCTTTTCAAGATCGCTTAGCTATTACTCTACGCTTTTAAGCTACAGAAGGCTCTTATATACTAGTAGTAGTAGTATACTAGTTTACAATATTTATTTAGAAACAACGAATTAGTTTTATAATTATATAAATCTGCAATGCACTTATTCAAAGACCTAACAGTTAAATAAAGGTGTATAAATATAATTTTTAAATTATCGCAAATCACTTTCCAAGCGTTCGATTTATCCACATCCATCTGAAAAAGTTGGGCGCGTTCCGTTCTGTGCGCGTTTTGTTCATTCGAAATAATTTGTTGCAAATCAGTACACACCCACACCGAAAAAAATAATGTAGTTGAGTTAACGTTTGCCTAAATATCAAATGTCATTTTTGAAAATGTTGTTTCAACAAAAAACCTATTGGATTAATCTATATTTTGGTGTCAAAGCAATAGTCAGAGTTTATCAAAGTTTAGTTGTTCATTTGACAGTTAAAATATTGATTTAACATAAACAAATTTTTTGAAATAAAATGTTTCTCCTATTTTGATTTAATAGCTGGAGTTGGTTTAATCAAATACTGAAATTTTTAGGATTACCTAAAAAAACTATTAAATTAACGTTTAGTTGCTCTTTAAATACAAAACATTAAATTTATTCATTTAACAAATTGACCATATGCAAGGAATGCGGTCGATGTTGCCAATAGTAAAAAAAATAAAATTCCCTATTGGGAACATTCAATTATATTACGTTGGATACACTGAAATTTTGAATTTCCCGCACAAACAGACATACATTCTAGTAGTTCCCAGAGATAAAGAAGGTAGTTCCAATGTTGTATAATAAATTAAGGTGCGAATTTCAAATGTGGGAATTATTATTATTTATTATTATAAAAAAAAAGATGGAAATTAATTTAGTTTGTGCGGGAAATTCAAATTTTCAATGTAGCCAACGTAATATAATTGAATGTTCCCAATAGGGAATTTTATTTTTTTACCATTGGCAACATCGACCGCATTCCTTGCATATGGTCAATTGTAAATGTTACACTTGCTTGCAACAAAATCGCGTACACTTCAGTTGTCGCAAATACTGAGCTGTGTAAAAGTGTCTTTTTTAAAATTTTGACTTTTCAAATTGATGTTTATTTATTTGTCAGTGTCAGTGTCATATTATAATGGCAAAATTAAATGAACGCCAGAAAATTTTAATCCTCTCGAAGTTGGAAGAAGGATGGTCCATCAGGGCAGTTGCGAACCATTACGATGTTAATAAAAGTACCATAATGAGGGTGAAGAAAAGGTGGATGGAGGAAGAAAGCGTATGCAGAAAAGAGGGTTCGGGCCGCTCGAGAAAACCTAATGTCGATCAGGATGAAGCGCTTATTGCCTATTTAAGGGAAAATCCATTTAAAACCGCAAGAGATGCAGTGTTCGAAACTAACTTTCCAGCGTCGTGGTCAACAGCATGCCGGAGAATAGGAAACTTGGATATCAAGAATTGGGCAAGTGCCAAGAAGAGCATCCTAACAGAAGAACAAAAGCAAGCCCGGATCTTGTTTTGCTTAAATTATGCCTTAGATTCTTGGAATAATGTTGTATTTACTGACGAAAAAGTTTTCCAGTCTAGTAATGACGGACATATTCGTGTATATCGACCTGCAAATTCCAGGTTTCATGAAAAATACGTGTCTCCACGGAACAGGTCCGGACGATTCTCAGTTAATGTTTGGGCATGGATAAGCGTGCATGGACCTGGTGTAGCATGGCGTTTGGTTGGTAGACTCAATGGGCAGGTTTACAGGGATATTTTGGAAATTGTTATGCTTCCTTCAGTGGAGCAATTATATCCCAACAACAACTTCATCTACCAACAGGACAACTGCCCTGTCCATACAGCAAGAATAATAACACAATGGTTCGGAGCTAATAATATTGAACTATTACCGTAGCCTTCTTATAGTCCAGATCTATACCCAATTGAAAACGTTTGGGGTTTGCTAGTGAAAAAAATTTATAACCGAAACTTTAGGCCAAGAAATGAAGAAGAACTATTGAAGATGGTTGGGAGGAGCTCAGAGAAAACGAAAACTATTTTCGTACACTAATTAATTCTATGCCCACAAGACTCAATCATGTCTTGGAAGCTAATGGAGCCTTAACAAAATATTAGGCCTAGTTTGAGCCATAGAATAAGTTAGAGCAATATATATTTTTAATTTTTATTCATATTTGTGACAACTAGGTTACTTAATATTAAAAATGTACGCGATTTTGTTGCTGTTAGTTTATAACCTCGTTTATAACCTATTTAAAATAAAAAGTCAAAATAACATGTATAAAGAAAATGTCACTTAGTTTATAACCTATTTGAAATAAAAAGTCAAAATTTAAAAAAATACACATTTACACAGCACAATATTTGTAACAACTAGGTTATTTGTTTTTTGAAGTGTACGCTATTTTGTTGCAAGCAAGTGTACTTTAAAATTCGTCATTAGACGGTGTTGATCACGTGCAGGGCCGGCTCCAGGGTACGTGCAGCCGTGCACAAATCGAATAGCGGCAAAATTCGAACGGCGTCAAAAATCGAAAGGCGGCAAAAAGTTATCATACTATTATTTCCCATTTTTAAATAAAAAAGCGGCTTTCTTTATAATAGAGCCGACAAAGGATCAATGGCACGGGCCGCAATGTGCGGTTTCTTTTGATTTATCAGGATTTTGCTTTGTTTTTAGGCAAACTTATAAATTATTTTAGTTGATATCAACAATTGCACAAAGAAGTTCAATATATATACTACCTATTCGAAATTTAATAATTTGAAAAAATAGACATTTTCGAGGACATTTTGTTCCCTGTGGTTGTGGTATTTAAATTGTGCTGGGCTTTTTGTGTGTGTTTTAAGGTAGGTATTTATTCACATTTTATAAAAAATTAATATATCACATCATGCATCCTTTTAATAAAAAATAATAATTAACAAATAAATAATTCTCATAAATAATGCTACAACTGGATAACTAGAAAATTTACGAATCCAGTTCTACTTAATACTTACATAGGTACCAATTTTAGAATATTTTTATTTATAAATGTGTTTTTCCAGATATCTAATTGTAGCATCAAGGGGACGACATTACACTGTTTAAAATAGCTGTGATGTAAAGGGTAATCTAAAAATGGTGTCTAAATCCAACACCAAGTGGTGTTAATATAAACCCCATGAATTATGTTCAAAAATGTTATATACAGCAAACACCAAAACGGTGTTTATCTAAAAATATTTTATCCTTTCGAACTACTGAGAAGTACACATTACACCTAGTATGATTTAATTTGACCAAGAACACATAATATTTAACACTGAAAAGGAGTTCAATTTACACTATTTTAGTATTTGAAATTACACTGGACCAACGAACCATATTTACCACCATTTTGGTTTGTATCGATATAGACCATGATGGTGTTAATTTGGTGTATGGTCATGAAATTTTGAACAGTGTATCTAATTGTAGCATCAAGGGGACGATATTATTTAGGTAAGTATACCTATAGTTATAGGTACTCGAGTAGGTATTATAGTTTTTTTTTTAGAAATTATACCTTATTAATGGGTACTAAAAAGTAGGTAACTATGAGGGGCGGCAAAATTTTTTTGCACGGGGTACCGCAATGTCTGGAGCCGGGCCTAATCACGTGATGTTCTTACATCTCGCCTCAGTTTGGCTTACGATAGGAGTATATAAGCTCAGGTAGCTGTTTGTTTTTGGTGTGTTCCACAGTGGAACTTCCACTACACCAAATTGCCCGACACTGTTTATTAGTGATAATACCCCCCATATAGGTCGAATCAGCTGTCTATCGGTAGGTATTTGAAGTAGGTGGAACGCACTCAAAACAAAAATTCTGACGAGGGAAGGTTCAATTCTTTCTCTTTATATTAATTCCATAATTTAATTAACCAACATTAGCGTAAATTATTTTAATTTAACATTTTATTGGTGTTAAGTGAATATGCTAAGAAGGTTACCTGGACATTTCAAGAAATTTACCTTAGCATCTTAAAAATGTTAGCACAACCATTTTCGAAATGTTTAATTAACCAGATTAGCAGATTAAAACAAATATTCTCATTTTGTTCATTTGACTAATATTTGTTGTTCAATTAAACAATACAATTTGACATTTTTAGATGGTTAAGTAAACGTGCAAAAACCATTGCTTGTGTTTAAAGTGCATAAGGAGTTGAATTAATATTTTCTTTGTTGTTTCAACAGCTTATTTTTTTCAGTGTATAGGGATAAACAATATTGTTTTGCTAAAATTAAAAATATAATTATACAATTTTACACCATATTTTTGTGGTAATCTTTTACATACACATTCATAAGTTTTGGCTTTATGGCGTTTTAGTTACGCTTCAGCACATTAGCAACAGGTTTTAAGTCACAGGCTGAAGTTAGTTGACAGTTGTCAAATGTCATGCAATCGTTAAAATAAAATGCCCTTCTTGTAAAATAATAATGTGGATATTATTTTATTATTACAAAAATAAAAAGTATAAAATAGTTTCTCAACGCCAATACTGACCTTTTGATTTTCCGGCAGTAAACTAGATTTAAATATGACATTAAAAATTTCGGGTGGACTTATGAGAAGTGAAGTGCCCATAAAACCTTTTCTTTACTTTTACTGTAAAAAACGGCTTCTATATCATTATTTAAACGGTTGTTAGTCCATTTTCAAGGGATAAATTTCGATTTACAAATACGATTTTGATAGTTTGACTGGCGCGCCAGTAACACAGTTTCCCAAGTTAGAAATTGTAAATAAGTATTTTTTGTAAAAAAAAGTAGTTTGTAACTCGTTTATAAATAATCTTTTCTAGACACTTATTCAATTAAATTCGAGACTAAAATGGCGTTTATCAAAAGTGATACATAATATACTATTAATAGTGTAATATTATCATGTATCAAGTTTTATAAATGCTATTTAAGTTACGAGTTTTATTAGGCACGAGCGAAGCTTGCAAGGGAGTGTTTAAT